CCGCGGCTGGGCCGAGGCGGCGGCCCCAGGCCCACAGGCCTCGGTCCTGCTGGGGTCGCCCTGCCTGGCCCGCGGGGCTCACCCCGGACCTCTCGCCACTGGGGTGCGGGGGCCGCCACCCGGAGGGCCCCTCCTCCGAACCCGACTGCTCCGTGCGTGCACCTTCCGTTTAGTGCGCTTCTGGCCTACGGGCTGCAGGGCCATGGAAAACAAAGGCTGCGTGCGGAACGACAGGCTTCGGAAGAAAGAGCTCCAAAATCTTACTAGGAATAAATTCTCTTCAGAAATAGGCCCAGCGCCGCGTTACCTAACAGTAGGCCTTTTTAAAAGTGAAAATGTCTTCAGAAGGAAGAGAGCATATGAAAGTAGAAAAAAATATATCTATAACTGGTACTTCACGTGGCTTGAATGTTGAGGCCGGTGCTAATTATTACCATAAAGGTAGAGCAACATTTTTGTAATAACCTATTAACTACAAAAAAGAAAAAAAAGCCTGACACAGGAGGGGCAGGGAAAAAAGGAATATATATATATTCCTTTTAATAGACTATATATATAGAGAGAGAGTCTCTGTCCTTGCCAAAAAGTTTACCTTCATCTATATCCTCTAAATATAATTCATATTGTCTGCTCCTGATTTAAGTAAATATTGAGTCTTCATTACATGTGTAAATACGATAATGGAGATATGTAAAGCACACTTATCACCGGCCCCAATAGGAGATAGTTATTTGCTATTTAAAGATATGCTATGCCCTTGTGGAGGCATATTAAGAATTTAATTTCCTGTTCACAATGAATTTACAATTGTAAACTTTAGAAAAATGAAGATATTAAAGAATAATTTGGTACTATATAGCACGCTTTGATGTGAACTTGGAGGTGAACAGTAAAATAAAAAAATTACTTATATGGGTACAGAGCAAATACTAAAGTGTATGCCACCAGTTATGATCCAATATTTGTTCAGGGTAAAGCAGCAATTAGAAGTGAGAGAAAGGGGACAAGAATGATCTGGGAGTTTTAAGGATAACGGCACAACTGAAACTGAGAAGGGAAGCATTTACATGTTCAGTTCCTGGATTGAGATGGACCTGGATTGTAATTCCAGTTTTGCTGTTTAAAGCATGATCTTGGACAAATTGTTTGTTTCAATGTTCTCAGCGTAAAAAGGTGCTTATAACATATAACGAACGTCAAGTGTTCAGCTAGTGCCTGTCCCTTGGTAGCACACAAATTATTTTCGTGCTATTATTATTAAGGATTTAAGAATCTAAAGCATACTCAAAGAGGAAAGGGTGCTCAAGCAAAGACAGAAGGTATGCATTTTTACAGGTGGGAAGAGGTTTCCTATCCAAGAAAGGTTGACTACATAGAAAAGGGCAGAGTGTGAAAATTAGCATTCAAAGCAGTCTATTTTGTGAGCCCCAGGGAGAAACTAAGGTTCTTAAGGAGTCCACTGACATGGTTAAATATGCATTTGGAAAGACAGCAGAGGAACGTGGAAGGATGCCTTAGGGGAAAACTAAGGGAGGAGAAGCAGGGGGGTTGTTGTCAGGAAGCTTAGAGAAGAAGCAGTCGTGTCAGTTTGGGTGAAATCTGTGGCAGTAGGTAAAAGAGAGGGTAGGTTTCAGAGAATTGTAGGAAATCAAGCCTATCAGACTTGCAGAGTGTGTGGAGAGGAGGGATGAGGAAAACAGGATGCTGAGAATAATCCCCAAGTTTCTAATTTGTGAGACTTAATGGCTTGGGTAAATGGTGATACTCTGAACCAGAGAGAAAGCAAGTTGGAAAAATGCGGTGATTTCTGTTTGAGCTGTGTTGCGTCTGAGATGGAGCTATCTTACAACAGATGGAACTATAAATCCAAAGTTTTGAAAGGTAGTAGAAAAGTTCTGAAAGAAGAACTAGTCAAGATCTCCTGTACTCACTTCCAGTGGTGATTTCTCCTTCCCAATGGGGTGGGACTTATTCATGAGAAAGACTTTGGGTGGGGAGAGGAGGGACTACTGTCAAAACTGGGTATCTACCGGGACTGTATAGGATCTCTGTTACTCTAATCAAGATAGATCTCAAAGGATTGGCAGGTCAGTCGGGTCCGTCCGCTGCACGGTGACTATTACAGCCGCACCAGGTACCGCGGTTCTCAACCTTCCCGAAGCCGCGGCCCCTTCACACAGCTCCTCGTGCTGTGGGGACCCCCAATGTCACTGTTACAAATGGAACGTAATGAAAGCATAGTGATTAATCACAAAATCAATATGTAATTATATATGTGTTTTCCGATGGTCTTAGGCCGCCCCTGTGAAAGGGTCGTTCGACCCCCAAAGGGGTCACGACCCACAGGTTGAGAACCGCTGGCTTAGAGGCATGAGAGACAGAAAAGACATTATTTGTCCTGTGCAGATCAAATTAATTACATCTGGAAACAATATGTATAGTAAGTTACTTGAGATATAAATAATCAATAAGTGATTCTATATGTAGCAAAATACAGACTGCTGTTTCTCCACACAGTACATATTGTAATGAAGGCTTTCTCTCCTGCCCTATGATAATGTTGTCTGCTTCGTTCAAAGCTTCCCAGTTGTAAAAACAAGATAGAAGTTCTCTGTCAAAAACCATAATAGCAGACAGTTTAAACATATCATGCCTTCTTACTCGATGCATAGCTGAACCAACTTAGATGTGAACAGTAAAATAAAAAATTATTTATATGGATGCAGAGCAAATACTAAAGTTTATGCCACCAGTTATGATCCAATGTGTGTTCACGTCTAAATAGGCAAAACAGAAGAGTAAAAGATTGACTGTAGGACTAATTATTCTAGAATCTTATCACAGCTCAGAATATCTCCTTTTCTTAGCTCAAGTTCCCAAAGAACTTTTACTAGTATATATATATCGAAATAGTGAATTTGAATATGCTCTCTGAAGCTATGGTTACTACCTTTTCAATGGCACCTCTATGCTGATTGTCTTCCTTTTTGCTCCTCCAGGGCCACTCTCAACCTGCTCTCTGTCCTGGGGTCCAAGGACAAGAAGTACATCAATGGGGTCAGTGCTTTCAGGCTTCTGAGCTTGGTTAGTGGGAGGAAGCACAGACAGGAAATGCAGGATGAGAAGAGAATGAGGTCAGTATATTTATTTCCCTGGCTTTCTCCCTGAAAGGTTACCTCTAGTTGTCTGTTGCCTTTTTGGGAAAGCACTACTCACGCCTCTTAAAGTGGCCTACTCTACATGACTCACTCTTTCATGTTCTGGAAACCTCTCTCTCCTCGTGTTGCTTTGGATCTAAGTGTAATAGCTTTATAGTCTTAGGTTCATGCATATTCCATTCGTTTCCTATAACTTTTTAGCTCATACCCTTTGAACTGGTCCCTTGGGAAAGGGAAGGAGAAACATTAAAGTACCTTAACTGGAAGTTTTCTGTTACAATCTCTAATGCTATTTTTAAAAGAACTACATGTTATAAGAAGCAAATTAGAATTTCCATAGATTAAAAAGCACTTCATATTGTGGCTCATTACTTAACCTAGTCATATTTTATTTTAAAGTGTGCCCTCTTTAATAGAATCACGGATTTTTACTGTGGACATCTACTTTAGAGATCATTCTGGTCTGACCTCTTTAAATGAGAAAATGATTGGACAAAGGCATGCAATCAATGAGACGATGTAAGAGCTTAAATCCTCAGTGTCCTTCCTCTCTAGCCAGTGTTTTTTACCCTTCAGTTGTCCCTCTTTTGCTTCTCTGGAGCCTTCCCCCTTCATCTGGTTCTGAGAATAATCCTCCTTGTGAGTGCCCCTGGTTCTTTGGAATATTTGATGGCTCAGATAGGATTGGGAATTTGGGATTCTCATTAAAGACTTACAATTTAATCCTGTTTTCAATCACATGCCTTCTTCTGCCTTCTGAGATTGGACCTTCCTATTGCTGAACCTTTCTGAGGATCTTTGGATCAATTCAGTTTATATTTCCTGGAAGGCATTTAGAATTCAACTTCTGATGATGGGGTCTATTTAGGGTTCAACTTCCAGTTACAATTTGCTCTGTAAAACAAATTTTAGAGGTTTAAAATAACAGCCATCACTTTCCTATTGCTCACAGTGGGACAGGAATTCTGAAATAATTCCGTTGGAAAGCCTGGGTTTAGCTCAGAATCTGTCAATCCATTGCAGTCAGATACAACTAAAACTGGAAGAATCAGGACCAGGGCAGTTGAGAACGAGCTAGGCACCTCTCCCATGAAAATCTCAGGGCTCAGATTCTCTACATCAGTGGTTCTCAACCTTCCTAATGCCACGACCCTTTAATACAGTTCGTCATGTTGTGGTGACCCCCAACCATAAAATTATTTTCGTTGCTACTTCATAACTGTAATTTTGCTACTGTTATGAATTGTAATGGAAATATCTGATATGCAGGATGTATTTTCATTGTTATAAATTGAACATAAAGCATAGTGATTAATCACAAAAACTGTAATTATATATGTGTTTTCCGATGGTCTTAGGCGACCCCTGTGAAAGGGTCGTTTGACCCCCAAATGGGTCGCGACCCACAAGTTGAGAAACACTGCTCTACATGGTCTCTCTCTGTGGGCTAGTTTGGGCTTCCCCACAGCCTGCCTGCCTCAGAGCAGTAAGGCTGTTTACACAGTGGTGAAGACTTCAAAGATGAGACTTCCAGTGAGCAAAGCATAAGCTGTATTACTATTTATGGCCTAGTTTGAAAGTCACATAGTGTCACTTCTACCATATTCTTTTGAACAAAACACACTCAGTTTCAGGGGGTGGACCAGAGACCCTCACCTCTCAATAGTAGGGGTGTCAGCCAGATTGTAAGAACAGCATGTGGGATGGAAGATATTGTAACCATTTTTGAGAAATAGAATCTGCCCCACAACTCCTCCATCTAATTTTTTCTATGTAATTTTTTGTATGACCAAAAAGTTTTTAAATTATGAAATACATCAGTCATACAAAAAATATAGAGACAATAATATAATGAACACTTTTTTATTTACCACCTTGCTTTAGAAACAAAACATTTCAAATAGTTAAAACCCCACTTTGTGTACATTCCTCTTTCTCTCCTTTTTCCAAAGAGATAAACATTGTCCTTAATTGGGTTTTATTATTGGTATATCTGTCTTTTTACTTTTAATAGTGTACATGTATCTCTAAACAATAGTAAATTTGGGTCTTTTAAACCTTTATTTAACATGATTATAACATTGAAACATTTTTTAAACTAAATGCTATTTTTCTGAGATTTATTCATGTTGATATTTAGTTCTAAACTTACTTAAAGGCTCAAATGGTAAATATGTTAAGTTTTATGGGCAGACAATCTCTGTTATAACTACTCATTTTGCAATTGAAGAACAAAAGTAGCTGTATTCCATATGTAAATGAATGAATGTGCCTGTGTTCTGATAAAACTTTATTCACAAATGTAGGTGGCAGAGTATAGAATTTGTCCTGTGGACATAGTTTAGTGAGCCCAGCTTAAGTATCCTATCTAATAAAAGACAAGGAAAGTAATTAACCGTACCTCCACTACACTTCCCATTGGCTAATCAGCGAGATATGCAAATTAACTGCCAACAAAGATGGCGACTGGCAGCCACGCAACTGAAGCGAGCAGGAGGCTTGCTTGCTCCAGTGATGGAGGAAGCCAAGGTTCCCTGCCTGCCTCAGCCTGCTCTAAGCTCTGAAAGCAACAGCTCCGAAAACAACAAAGTTTCAATTATAGATGCCAAACAAACTCCAGATACCTGCTTTCAGCCAGCCGCGGCCTCAGAGCTGGGAGCGCCAGTTACAGCAACAAAGTTTCAATTATAGAAGGTAACTAAATCCCAGAACAAAAAAAAAAAAAAAAAAAAGCTAGG